GCTACAATGTTATACTTCCCCAGGTGACATTGCAATTTGCTGATAAATATCGATTATAACCTTATTAAATATTGGCCTAACAGTTAGGTTTGTGATATTCAAAAGTCAATTTGGAAATGTATGTTGATGTGAATATACCAAAGTACAAAGAATGAGCTTGGCATGATGCAAATAAATATTTCGTTCCTCACTTTTTTGTTTAATGCAAGTTAGCCATGAACGATCGAAACTCATATATGTTTTCTCTGGGTATGTATGCTGAGCATTAGGCCCCCCCCAAACAAAAAATATTCGTTCTCTGATCAGACCAAAGTTCCGGAATTGACGCGGGGACGCGGCTTTTTTTTTTTTTTTTTTCTTCAAGCTTGGATTGTACAGACAAGGTGGGGTATTATTTTGCTTTTTTTGTGTCCTCCTGTACATTGGTGTCCTCCATAATTTGCCTTGGTGCTCTCGATCATTTGCCTTGGTGCAATTTCCCATTCCTTGGTGCTCTTTGGTAAAAAAAAAAAGAGGAGGTGCGGCAATAGAGGGCGCTGTTGGAGCTACCGCGGAACATTTTGGAAAAAAAAAGATTGACGCGTATGATTAAAATCGACGCGCGCGCTGACCAGAGACCGACTTATTTTTTTTTGGCCTTATGTAGTCTTGTTGAGAACGATTCACAATCCTGCTACTTTCTCTCGTTGAAATTGACATTGACATTTGAATAACTTATGAATTCCAGGGGATCTATTTCTAATTTTTCAAGTAAAACCACTGTCAGCAAACGACTTTACATGGGTGACGTTTCAGTCAATTTCTGTTTGCAACAAGTAATGATTGAGAATTTCAAAGAATCTTAACGCTGACCACATTGTCTTTAGGCCAAATATGTTGTTATTTTTTTCAGTAAAAGAGAAGTCAAACTGTAAATGTTCATTTCCTTATTTTGTATCGTTTTTTTTTAGCGTCACGTGTACCATATTGGTTAAATTGACAATTTTCATGACACCATAAAAACTGACGATACGCCTAAAACCACTAAATCCGCGCCCACCGAATTGCCAAAATTTATCAATGAATGACAAAACATAACAAAAACCAGAACAAAGCGTGACAGCTTACACAATACACACGACATTAAATCACGCCATATTGATAAAGGTGCGCAGGTAGATGAATAGGGTCACAGTTCAAGTTCAGTGCACACATTTTTTGCCAAATAGTTCATGTGCACACCTTGCTGACTGCATTGGCCCACATCGGCCATTTTGTTTCGCAGTTTACTAGCAGCCATGCCCCCTTTTCAATACTCTATGTTTTGCTTGGTTCTACTTGGATGTATTCTTCACGCAAATGCCTTAGAACTTGCCAAACGAGCCGCGGATGACGAGGTGAGTCTGTTAGGATACTTTCTACGGCTTCCTAGCCCAACTTTACTAGTTTAAATAAAAGTTTTTCACCACGCATTGCCGTGCATTACGTTTACGAAACGTTTACACCGTATGAAAGCTAGGTGAACACCCTTATGTTACCGCTACCCGTACACTCCTGGTTAGGGCTATCATATAGGGTTGCGGTTAGGGTTATAGAATAGGAATATGAGCAGTCGGAACATAGGGGTGTTGGAACAGGTTTCGGAACATATATAGGTGTGCACCCGTTTGGAAAATGTTTATTTTTTCTCGTTTCTTCGTCTATTTTGTTGAATTTTATTGTGATTCTGAATCCAGCAGAAAGCAACAAAAACTCAAATGAAAGCCAACAATTTCAGCAAAAAGCAAATGATCATAAATATGCTTTTGATCGCATAAAGTGCTGGTAAAATACCTCTACATTAGTAACGTCATCATGAAAATATGCTATCCATTCAGAATATTGTCAAAACTGCTTTCGTTTTGTATCGCGTCCAAAGTCCATCAAAGTGGTCGCCATCAGAAAGAACAGTGATAAACGTGCGGCACAATTCTGGAATTTTATTCTACAACTGATAGCACATAATGCATACATTACTGACAAATTTGGAACATTTTAGGGAATGCGTCATCAATGCAAATTTCGTTGAAATTTGTCACCAATCAACGGCCTAGATTTTAGTTCATAATACGGGTCATGGTCGAATAGCGCTGGTAATGTGACGACTTTATAAAGCAAACTAGGTGTGTCTGTTATGGAAGGGGCCAAGCTTACTCTCACAATGATGCCGTTATTTCACAGCCTCATCCTTACTGCATATTGGCGGAAGACGAAGAAAGCAAGTCACAGTTTTTACTAGGACCAGTAGTAAAACCCACCAAATATCTTGTATGCAGCAGAGGCGAATTCTTTAACTTCGACATTAATCCGGACACTTTGTAAGTAACTTTTATAGTTTATATTCCTTGAATCAGTAGGTAAAGGGGATTCTAACCTATCAAAGTATTTTAAGGGGGGAGGGGGTTTCCAATGACAAACACTTGTGTGTGCTTCTTATTTCAAACTTCTTATCAGACAAAATTTAATTTATGACGTGCATGTTGTACTGACTTGAAAATGTACACAGAATACTTTAAAGGTATGTTTCTATATTCAAGAGCCCATGTTCTACGTGTTTAAGTTTTGTCAAGCACACCTTAATATGGATTTACAAATTGTTCTCTTTTTGATTATATAAAATGCCCCTTTTGAAATCCCAATTCCGTAAGTGTTTATAGTTATACGTTTTCCTTGTGTACACTTAAACAAAGTGTTAGTTTCTACTTTTCTTGTTTTCAATCGTTTGTATCAGTATAGACCATTATCATGTTACAGTCATTGGATTTCCCCCATTCGAATCAATGTAACCAAAGCGAGGCTGGAAGGAAAATATGGTTTGGTTCCTTTATACTCAAAGAACATTATCATTAAGTACTGTATTGGATATAGGGAACATGACTGAAAGGGTAGCAGCATGATAAAGGTCTATTGTTTTACACGTTCATGCATGTTTATTGCATGACGCTTGTTTTAACGTAAAACCCGCAGTTTCCAAGTACATGTATCATACTCTAAACATTACACAGGGGTCCGTACAAATGCACGACATGTCCGCGAAACACCCATTACATGGACAGCAGGAACTTCTGTCACAAATGCATAGTCTGCAAAGTCTGCGGTGACAATGAAGAGGAGGTAATCGTACCATTTTCGTTATAAAGGTTATGACATTTGGCTTCAGGACTGTATGTACTACACAAAGTTATACACGATAGCTTGATGACATTCTGCTATAGTACCAAGCGATGAACAGTTTCCCTGATTTGATCCCAAACGACTTAAGTACATCGCCCTTTATTGGTGTTTAACGCTCATACTGGACTTGATGTATGTGTTTCATTTTTTTGTTCTACTCCATAGATAGAACCCTGTACCCGGTTTAGTGACAGAATTTGTGGGCAGAGAATGCCAACGCTTCCAACTATCGCGACAAGTGAAAATCCACGAGTTTTAACAACCTTGGATGAGACGACTGGTATTCTTTTTCATCTCTTTTTAATTAATTTATTTGTTACCTCAGGCGACAAAGTAGATACATATTACAATAAATAACCCAATAAGTTCAAGTGTTAAGAGTACCACGCCCGTTTACGACATATAAAGATGAACATGAATGAAACTGCTACAAACTGCCCACTGACTGGATTGACCCGAAAAACACAAATCAAACTAGAGATGTGTTTGTGGACAAACACAAGCTGTTTCGGATATTCAAAATACTCTGTGCACGTGATGAACAATCAGTGACGTCACTAAAAATGTCATCTATAACAGCACATTATACGTACATGTCAAGTTATAACCAAATCGAACATATAGGTCTGTAAATATAGGCCTATGAAGAACAAAATGCCCCTTTAAGGGACGTCACATGACATTTGATGATGACATCACATGAATTTTCATCTATAACCCATCTCGGCATTGGTACGATCACGAATTTCTTCTAGGACCATCTGCGGGTGGTAGTCTAAGTGTGTACCAGGTCTAACGTCGATCGCATAATTTACAAAAGTGCCAAAGTAGAGTGTTTTAAAACGTGTACAAACCCTATGGGGAAAAATGCATCTTTAATGTGATGTAACCCAACACCTGATGACGTCACGATCGCGCATTTCTTCTAGGACCATCTTTGGGTGGTGGTCTAAAAATGTATCAAGACTGAGGTCGATCGGATTTACGAAGGTGCCAAAGTGGAGTGTTTTAAAACGTGTACAAAACATATGGGGAAAAACGCATCTTTAATATGACGTAACCGAACACCTGATGACGCCACGATCACAAATTTTCTTCTTGGACCATCTGTGGGTGGTGGTCTAAGTGTGTACCAAGTGTAACGTCGATCGGATTTACGAAAGTGCCGAAATGGAGCATTTTTTAATACATGTACAAACCCTATGGGGAAAAATGCATCTTTAATGTGACGTAACCTGACACTTGATGACGTCACGATCACGAATTTCGTCTAGAACCATCTGTGGGTGGTGGTCTAAGTATGAATTAAGTTTAAAGTCGATCGGATTTACGAAGATGCCAAACTGGTGTGTTTTAAAACGTGTACAAAACATATGGGGAAAAATGCATCTTTAATGTGACGTAACCTGACACCTGATGACGTCACGATCACAAATTTCTTCTAGGACCATCTGTGGGTGGTGGTCTAAGTATGTACCAAGTCTGAAATGAATCGGATTTAAAAAAGTGGCAAAGTGGATTGGTAGAAGAAACGTGTGTTAAACCTATGGAGAAAAAGTCTGAAAAAGGAGGGGGGGTAAAAAAAAAAAAAGAAAAAAAAAAAGAAAAAAGAAAAAAAAAATCTTAACGAAAACAAGAGCTGTTTCGGTGTGTTACCGAAACAGCTAAAAATGAAAGTGCCGGATATTTCACTTGTAACAAGATATTCGTCAGAGGCAAATGACCTGAAGATGAAATGATATTTGCAAAATAATGACCTATTACGATCATTTAACATTTGCTATTTTGTATTTCAATGTAGAGGCAGGCCTTGCATTGTCATCTGCACAATCGTCAGCTTGTCCACCTTGTGTGTCATGTTCATGTGCACCAGCCTCAGATAAGCCGTCCACAACATCGAAAACTCCAAAAGAGGGTGTAACGACCACACATGGAGAAGAGTTAGACCTAAATGGTAGGTTTATTATACTATTTTATGTCTGCTTCTAGGTCGTTCTTTCCTTTTTGAGAGTCGATTTTAGACAACTGTATATGCGGCAGAATGCCATTACATGTATGTATATGGCGTCAATATTATGATTCTTGTAAATCACGTTTTTGTTTGTCCTATAGGTTGCAAACCTAAACGAAACTTATCTCGAGAATCTTTTGTTTCTTCCAGTTTTGGTGATGTCGATAACTTGTGCAGTACTTGCTGCAATTGTAGTAATCCAGTTTGTGTGGATATGCACTGGCAAATGCCACAAGTAAGTCACACGTCTTATATTCTAATTTGACTTATTCATTGATATCAGCGTTTGCTTGTCCAGAAAGCCAGCCTACCGTCCCATTTGCCCCTATCTGACCGACTGAGTGACTCAATGACTCACTCGCTGACTGACTTACTCTTACTGGAGACTTAAATTGGTTTAGAGAATGGACTAGTGCTGCCGGCCGTATACGATTACCTGGTAAATGGGCTGAATCAAGTCCACTGCGTTGACAAGATGCAGAAAAAAAGACTTGCAGTGAATAGCCATTCTTGATAAATTGACTAGAATTTTGTGCGCTCTGTGACCAGCTTTACCAGTTTAACAAACAAAATGGTTCTAGCATTTATCAGCTTCTTCAAATTTACTGCCGTATTTTATATGGCAGAATGATGCTTACGCTGAGTTGAAGAGGCACAACTTTCCTGTTCAGACATGTTTACATGTTATTTTGTTCTATACGCAGAAACAGAAACAAAGGTGAAGCAGAACAAGTGCAAAATGGTAATCTCTCTTTATGTAAATCTATTTCATTCTAATCTAATATAAGTTTAAGTGAGTACATTTTGATAAAATAATGCTTATTCTAGCAATCAAATAACAAACTGATGGGAATTTAAGTATTATTAAATGTTTAACCAAAATACGACTTATGACAAGTGCATCAACTAATGCTTTTAAAACAGGCACCGCTATATTGCTAGTGACTGAGTCTTTTATGTAAAAAAAATCTGGTTATTTTGTTCAAAGAAACTGACTTATTAGTATTTCTTTAAAACTATGATTGCTCATTTTGAATTACGGATTTCGTTTAGATGCAGAGCAGTTCCCTCTTCAGCGTCGTGGATCAGAAGAAGACACATGAGAAGTATCAGCCATACAAGATTAGAGCAGCGTTTATGTAGTTTATTATTATAAAAAGTTTATGCAATATCTCATGTTTTCCTTAACTTAGGTCTTTGTTGTGCTTGTGTTCTCTAAATGGACATTGTGTTGTAAAAGCACTTTCGCTTAGGACATTAGTTTATAGACAGTTCTATTGAAGCATCAATTATAGACCTTATGACGAGGCTGAATTTCAACATTATGAATACTCAGCAGGGTATTTTGAATTGAAAACATATTATCATGCAAGAGCGAACACCCTCGCTTGTCAAACGGGTCTTGCCTACAAGTTTTGGAAATGTAAATTATTTATACTCATTTAGATTCGTGCTTTTCAAAAAGAAAACCAAACTTTCGAAGGTAATTCCTGGATAAAGTGTGTGATGCAGGCATAGAATGCTTTCACTTTCATCATGTGGTATAGATATTCACGACTATATATTTTCTTATTTGTTCTAATAAACTGTCCATTTTTGCAATTTATGAAAAATAATGAAAAGGCTATACCATAGGCATTATGTAACAATTATGGTGCATTAAAAAGACTTCTGAGTTCTCCTCTCAATCAGGCAAAACCTGAATCTCAATTGTGGATCAAATAAGCAATAATTAAATCTTTTGCAAACGGATTTATTTGAGTTTGCATTTTGTACATTTTGTTCGTGTCTCCATTGAAGTGCCACGATGCAGCACAGAGGGACATTACAGAGTGTTTGGAACGTTACAATATTTCAACAACGAATGCCATTGATGAAAATCAATCACTTAAGGACTTTTTCCGTGAATAAAATCCAATTGTCTGTTTACGAGCTTCTCGGTTAGTTTTGTGGACAAAGTAACACATTGAATAACTTTACGAATGTGTTGAATTTCAACGAAGGATACAAAACACATAGGGAACATCATAGTATTGATTTACATCATCCCGACGCAAATTCCATCCAATGAATAGAAGGATATACACAGTTCCACTTTGAAGCGCAAGCTTTATTATCATACACTCTCAAAACGTTGGTAAAAATTTGGTTTATTAAAAAAGTTGGTTAAAATTTTAACCAACAGTGTGTAAATGTTTCCACTTTGACCAATGCTTGGTACATTTGCCCAACGTTGGGTAAAATGTCATTTTTTAACCAACTTTTTTGACCAACTGTTGCGCTGTTCATCTGGTAACAAACGGTTGATTAAAATAAGTCATTTTAGGCCCACCCAACGTTGATTAAATTTAACAAAATTTAACAAACGCTGGGAAAGTTTAACTATTTTAACCAACCGTTGATTACCAGGTGAACGGCTCAACAGTTGGTTAAACAGTTGGTTAAACAGTTGGTTAAAAAAATGAATCGATTTACCGACCGTTTGGTGAAATGTACCCAACATTGGTCAAATTGGAACATTTACTCCATGTTGGTTAAAATTTTAACCAACTTTTTTAACCAACCAATATTAAACCAACGTTTTGAGAGTGTAGTTTTTCTTCTGAATTAAAACCTCAGACACGCGTGACAACCCTGACAATGGACCTCCCCTGGGATATTCACGGCATACCTGCAACATACCTGCGAGCTCTGTCCATTGTTGCGTTTTACTCAGTACAAGAAATACAAGTATTTACCCACCAATCTGAATTTGGATTTCAATGCGTGGATGACTTCAATGGCTTGCAAGTATGCAGTATAAATTGTGTATGGTAACCAACCATGGAGGCTCTATTAACGTTGGATACCGCTTTTTATACTTTCATTATGTACAATTTATATAGAGACCGAAGACTAAGATCTTTTATTGAATACATTTAATCTGCGTCTGAATTTTGCCCTAAAGAGTGAATGGATACGCCCCTTGAATTGTCATTATTTCAGCAATGTGAGGGTTCTCTATCCCTATAAACCGAGTAATGTTTGATTGGTTACACAATTAGCAACCATTACCTCAATATTCATTTGTCAGACATCACATATAGCTCATAGGGAAATCACTCAACTAGAATAATAATCACCACTATACTTTGAAAACCTTGAAATGTACAGACCAGGAATAGAACGAATTTACTTACATGTTACTTCAATCGTTTGTTGTGTTCAGCAATAGCTGAATATACAGCTCAAAATAGCTGACTACCTCACCGTTCGTGAGCTTTTTCGGTTGAACTTTGACACTATAGGCATGGATTCATTTAAATACAAATAGTGATCATATCCAGCATTGTGGAGTCGCATTAGCGTGTGACAGGTAGTATCAGGAAGTAAACCGAACTTTATTAAAAACGTCATACGAAACCATTGCACATTTTTCTCGACATTTTTAAAAAAGACTTTACACCCGTATTAAGCACTTCAAACTTCCGAAAGGACTTTGGCCCTTCTGTATATAAAATAAAAATGAATCAACATACAGTTTTGCATACACTTTTGATCTTTTTGTGGTGTTTGTCGGATTCAACCAGACGCATGGTTGTCACTGCAGAACCCACAGTGACTGCGTGGATTGTAACACCGGAGGCTGATCGTAATGAGGGCGGGCGAGTTGAGATGAGGTGCGTGGCTACAAACCTGGAGGCTGATCACATCGTGGAGTGGAGGACTGAAAACCCAATCAAGACACTGAGATGGGGTAGCATTACTGTAGCAACCGACCGGCGATTAATGTTCGAGACGATGCAGACAGTTAATAGGCAAACTACTCAAAATTTCACCATAACTGATGTTCAGAGGGGTGACACAGATGAATATATTTGCAATGTTAACGAACCTAAAGATGGCGGAGGAAGCTTCATTGTGGCCACTGCTACAGTGAACCTGACTGTGTTGCACGACCCCAGTAAGTCATTCCTTACCTGTTCCCCTGATGGACCCTTCAACGTAGACACTGGAACACCATTGATGCTACTTTGTTCGTCTAACGATGGACACTCATCACAAATCTGCATGGAGGTTTCACCACATCCAATCAAATCTAAAACCTACCTGTGGGTAACATCACCTAAAAACGATACAATTACTTCATCGCTCAATCTAACAGTAAATACTGCAGACAATAATGTAACATTCGAGTGCATTATATCATCTGTTAAATTCCCAGACAAGAACAGTTCCTGTACCATCGGACCAATCATCGTTGAATCAAATACACCCGTCGTTGATGGGACATCTCCCATTGCTTATGTAGCAGGTGGAGTTGCTGCACTTGTTCTTATCATCCTAATCCTAGTTGTGATTTCTTGGAAACGTGGACACTGCAACATTCGATTAAAACTTTTCACATCCAACTCGGACCCGAACGCCAATACAACTGTTTCAACTCAACAAGTAGAACATTATGCCGAGACTAGACTTCACACTCACAGTGACCCTTCCTGTGATTCACGCGGGATTAACCAATACCAAGATGACGTGACTCTGACACAAAGTTCCCTTAAAGAACCAGGACCCTCTCCCACGACACAGGTTGAATGGGGAACAGGACGATACCCAGGGCGGCATTACGAGATGTCACAGACTTCAAGAAGACCTCGTCAAAGTCACCTGGTTGCTGAGCCTGGCTACGCCAATCCCGCATTTGTTTCCAATGACTCAAAAACCACTCAAGCAATTGACGACACCAAAGTTGCAGCCATAAAGCCGACGCCAAGGGCCGCGACTCCTAAACACAAACCGTACAAGCCCAAACCGAACCGGCAGAATAGCACCGAAGACAACACTCTTAACCTGCAGGATGACTGGATGTCACCCCCTTCCATACCAGCCCCTAAACCGCCACCAACACGGCACAGCATACCCCCTGATTACATGTATAATCAAGGAGGAACCAATGAGGCTCAGTCTACACCTGCCCGGGAGGTGCCAGCTTATGCCCAAGTCTCAGTCATCAAGAAAGACATTACAGGAAGAAGAGTACGATCTGATGATCATATCGTGTACGCTGACTTGGACTTGAAATCAGAATCGTCTGATGATGATGATGATACTGATGGTAATGTGCCATCGACATCAACCACACTGTATGCTTCCGTCACCGCATCGATATAGAAGACAAAGAAAGACATCTTAGTAATATTTACCTGTAATTGTTAGAATGAATTATGGCATACAAACTGCATGATGACATGTGCACCTTTTTACCAGGGTTAAGTTTGAATAATTTAGCCGAAGAAATCACGATTGAAATTGCTCTAATAAACAATGTAAAAAAAATTCAAAAATATCAAAAGTCATATAAAAGTTTTCAAAAATCACAATGAACGATCGTAAAGATGAGAGCTTTTAATGAACTTTAACCCGATTTTACACTGATGTTATCTTGTGGATCATTTCATCCAGTATGCTCTTCTGACATTTCCTGGTTGCTACAATGTTATACTTCCCAATGATTGTTGTATTTAAATTGTTGATTTAAACATGGATGCAAGGCACATTAAAATAAAAAAAAGTTTAAAGAAGTAGGGTCCAGATAGTATATTGATTATTACAACTACAATGTAGTTACATGTACAGAATCAGCAAACTTTCTTATTCAAACAGAAAAACCCCACTTTAGCAGATGGCAAAGTTGTGTTCCATATTAAAGTGGTACTCCACTTATGTGCAGTGTTCCATAATTTCATAAATCCCTGGAATAAAGTGAAGCTGGTGAGAGGGTGAAATTCTCTTAAAAAGTATAAATTAAATATAAGATTTGAGGCTTTGCATGGTGGGGTATCGGTATCGTTTCGGTTTGCGGTAACACCATGTGGTAATAACTACTGCTTAGAAGATATTAGTTCTGAGAAGAACTTGTCCTGCTTATTATCAACTTTGCTAAGTATTTTTTTGTTCTGTTAAGAACAGTCCTGCTGTAAGTTCTAAACGAACTTGTCTTTGGTCTCAACGTTTCGACTAGCCTGCTCTAGTCATCGTCAGTCATCCTGACGATGACTAGAGCAGGCTAGTCGAAACGTTGAGACCAAAGACGTTTCGACTAGCCTGCTCTAGTCATCATCAGTCATCCTGACGATGACTAGAGCAGGCTAGTCGAAATGTTGAGACCAAAGACAAGTTCGTTTAGAACTTACAGCAGGACTGTTCTTAACAGAACAAAAACTACTTAGCAAAGTTGATAATAAGCAGGACAAGTTCTTCTCAGAACTAATATCTTCTAAGCAGTAGTAATTACCACATGGTGTTACCGCAAACCGAAACGATATAAATTAAATGTAAAATACACAGAGTTTACAGATGGCTGTTGAATATGTGCTGAATGTGACAAACACATTGGATAACTCATACAAATTTTTAAAATTAATAGCAAGTTGCCTGTAAGTTGCCTGGAAATTCAGAACATTGTTCTCTCGGAAGTGTTTAGGACCAACATGAAGTTGTGCAAAAGATAAAACTGGGCAACTTTATCGTCTTTGGTTGGCGGGCAAACTTTGCCGTTTTGAATGGAAATAACAATTGGAAAAGTGGTTTGACTGCTTCCTTTTATTTTGGAGTATGAACAAAAA